TTGCCACCCAGCTGCGGTAATCCGCGGCACTGCCTTGCAACTTACGAACTAGCAGACAGCTTAATACCGGCTGGTATTACGAAATACTCATTTTACATGAATACATAAAAAAAAAAGCATGTTTTACTGCGTTTGTAGAGGGTGTACACCCTCAGAGCGACTATGGAAAGGCAGAGCTCTCGAAGCATATCTAGACATGTCTCATATGTCAACGTGTGTACAATTGCTTGGACACTACAGACACGCAGCAGTAGCAGCATCGGCAGACAAACCCTTATAGCTCATGCTATGCTTCTAAAACCTTCCCCGATCATTCGAACCATGAATATAAAATATACTAAGCAGGTACATGCACATTATAGTCGGTAAATTATTTAATTTAGAATAACATTATCGTTCTTTCTATTTTTTGTGAACTACTACATGTAACTTTTCATTTATTTAATTTTTTCAGATCCGTCGTGCCGATTTATCCTACCTCTTCTATTTGATAATATTTCCGCTAAATCCCACCTATATTCTGCTAAATTACTACACCTCAAAAACCCTGAGTCGTCAATATAATACAAACGGCCGTGGCATCCGATTTATTCCACATTAAACCTTATTCTGCTTACTTCGACATCGAATAGGTCGTACGTCAGCGGCAGTATCGTAGGGCGTTACCCTACAAGTCACTTGCCTTAATTCCTCCTAGACGCTCCCATTGCTCCTTGCGAAAACTGTAGAGACGACATAAGCATATCATGCAGTGCAGAGTCTGCCCGTTCTCAGCAAAATAAACTCTCTATCTTCTCTCCAAACTCTATCTTCAGACGGCCACCACGATCAAAAACTACAGTGTTTGTGTGCATACGCTCCTTGCGTGTGGCGCCCAAACCGAGACGTGACCAATGAGATCTCGCGGGCACCAAATTCTCGTTCTTCCTAGTCCGTTTCTGCCAGAGATGCTTGCCGACAGTTTCAGATATGAATATCAGGCGAAACACCCGCTCAGGACCGGTGGCGGCAGACTCGTGCGCAGACCTCGACTTTCTCGTTTCGATGACATTTCTTTTAGCTTCAACAACGCCCGACCCAACAGTCCATGGATAAGCTCGTAGTGAACGAGTAAGGAGGGCGCACAGCACACGCATACCTCAGAACTTAAGCAAGGTCCGGCAGGTCCACGTGTCCAGGCACGATCCTTTGCTGGCTGCCTTGCTCTATTCAGTCACTGTTCAGAGAACCAGCAATAAAGGCAAGGCTGCTGGAAATATGTTAGACCTCCCACGAGCACAGCCACGCATTCTTAACAACAGCTTTTTCCCTTGTCAACTTTTACGTCCGGCGTATTCCTACTAACCCATCGTACAAAACCAACTCATTCCACAACTATAATCATAACAACGATAACCTGGTCCCCAATCTAGACCAAAGGAAGACCGACCCCTCTATTATATCCTGTTGTCTTTCCTGTCTTCTACGCGCGCTAGTCCACTCAGATTCCAACAATTTGCCGACGGTCGCGTAAGCCAACGTCGACATGTAATTAGCCATTAGGGACGATTTACGATTTGGATTAGTAGTTAATGGTTAGCTTACAAAGAGTGAAAAACGAAATCTATAACGTTCATATGTATGATTGCTCGTGGTAAATTAGAGCTAAATATAACAATTTACAGTTTCCTTCATCAGGTGTGACCTAGCTGTCTAGACCTTACGCTATCACATATTAGTAGTCCTGATATCTATCTATTCATGATATGGAAAGACGTGAAAAAATACAAATAGAGATTTTAAACAACTGCTTTGTCGGACCGTAAGCACCTCGTTAACTCGCCTTCAATGCCTTTCACACAAGTATTGGCCTGCGACGGTTATCCTACCGCCTTTAAAGGCTAGAAAACGACCTGCTATTTTAAGATCGCTAGTAATAGTAAGTGAAACATCATAAATCTGTGTGCTTTCGTAGAATACAACTGATATTATTAACCATTAACATTAACCATTTTTAAAATTTTTTTTCACACCATCAATAACACCGATTGGTTACCTACGTCGACCGTAAAGCTCGTGATTCTGCTAACAAATCTTTTGTACAATCCCATTTTGTGCCGTAGTCGACACCGACTTGCATAAAACTCTGACATGGTAAATATTACACACGGCGAGACGTAGATGTACGTTACCGGCATACTAAGTTTCTTCGTGGTCGGTGTGCTTCGAGTCACGCTCAAGTCATCAGCATCAGCTAAGGCCTTTGAATAACTGTTGTGCTTAGTTAGGCGACAGTAATAATTGTACTACACTACCTCAAATCTGAATCGATCGAGCTGGAAGATCAGCCTGTATGAAAAATGGCTACGTGTTTATACACATTCGCCATTCGCGCACATCGTTTATCTCCGAAGCCGGCATTCGACTGGGGACTAGTTGTCTCATTCTATCAAACTGTCTTAGCCAGTTTATTACAAATATCTGCTTCTGTTATATGGGGTAAGCGTAACTAGACATTGGCTTAATCCAAGAGGCCAGATCTACTTAGGCCGATCTACTGAATATATCTTTGGCCCCACAAAAGCTAATCGCCTACTCAGAGAATGTCCTATTCCGCCGATACCACAGGAACACGCAGTAACAAGGTATACAGTTAGTTTGTATCTTTTTCTATTCAGCAAGTGAAAAAGATTATTCGTAGCATTTAATATTTTACAAATATCTATTCTACTTTGTCGCTCGCTACAAAATCTTCCCTATAGTCGCTGGACAGTGTGACACAACATACTCGGACGTCACACTTTAATCCACTCCATAATGTCGTACCCTTGTCCCCTGTTGGCTGGCCTAGAGGCTTTCAGAGCCCTATGTTTATTGGAATAACGTACTCAATAATGTATCTCGAAGATTTTATCCCGCTACATTTCTAGCAGTGATTACGGCTAAGTACTTAGGATCCATGTACTGTTCGGCTTTGCTTCCCTCTAATACTTTTATATGTACCGCTATACTGGAGGAAATTCTGTGGCTATCCTGATCCTGCTCCACCCTTCTGCCATTTCGTATTATAGTGGCAGACTCGCGCACCGCTTTGAACTGCAGGCTATGACCAAGCTTTCCAATACAACAATACGGTCGACCTCACGCCAATTCGATCTGCGATAATTAACACTTCAATCCCATGTGATGTCTTCATTTAGAACATTTGCAAATTTCAAATAATTGTTTGTCAACTACGTTTGAATGATTACGATCAAATGTGTTATAACAAGTAAGGCGTATTTTTCTCTGTTTGCTAATTGAGAATCTAGTTACTAGGGGCATATTATTGCGAATAAATGTTGTTGGTAATTCATTAGTTTACTCGAGTAGTTCTCTCCTACCACGTTTTCATGTATTTATATACAAAAATTAAGCTACATATCTATCTATCGGCAATTTTCATTGGCTCTTTTAGATAAAAAAGTAAATCAGTGAGGTCTTTAGAAGTCAACTTTGATTCGAGTAATGCTGAAAAATGGGGGCAAAGATTATGACTTCAGGAGTGCAAGATGTTTTTCACACAAAACTTTCCGTTTTTTTTTTTTATATTTAATTCGAGGGCTTCTCCTGTAATGACCTCAGTTCTAGCTGACCGCGTGAGTGGCTGACTGCCTCAGACGAATGTTTTACAGTTCTTTAACGCCGCAAACAATGTCCCCTATAAAACGCAATTTTGTTACTTAAGCTTATGTCATGTGGTATTTTTTTCGGAAACCTCGACCTAGTTTTGTGCTTACTCGTTATTTTCTGACCTAAATGAAAGCGTAAACCTCGTGTTGGCATCGGCTTAGTTTTTGCTTTTCGCTCGTATTTATAGGCCATTGACTTAAGTTTCAACATTTTGTCGAAGTCGAGTCCCCTTCCCGTGTAGTTCCATTTTATCAGATAGCCGAACAAGAGCGAAACACGGAAGCAAGCTTTTTCGATCGCTTGCAGCTGGTGCCATCCTTTGAGAAGCTGAATAGAAAAGAGGTAGATGCATTTGCAAGGGGGCAACCAAACGCAGAAGGGGCTGACATAACAGAAATAGGTTCCAAGCCGGGCTCGAGTTTAGACTCGAAATGCTTCCGGATCTCATTATGTGTGGCTTGCGTACTGATGTAGATTTTTCTCGATGCAGTTCGTGTATTCAGTTAACGTCCCCAATAGCTTTCATATTCGCGGTCGATGTGCTCAGGGATTGATATGAGTCATCACTATATGTTTGTTTCATATCATAGAATCAAACTGATATTATAAGGCGGCAGTCAGTGGTGATGAGAACCACTGAGCATTACCATTCTATTTTCGTAATGATCCCCCACAATTTTAAATCCAGAACATTCTTGGTAATGACCATCGATTGAATACGTTTCACCTGCTGTGCATGCAAAACATTATTATAGAATAGCAATCCTAAATGCTAGGTATCGATCTCAAGCAACATTTTCGTGTCGTGTAGCATCATCGGCTTAGGTTACACGACCTACTTTTTTTTGTCAAAGAGCTGTGGTTAAACGAAGCAGTTTTTTCCCAGTTATCAAGATTATATGCAGCTAGACGTTCTTGTACGCTTATGTTGGATCTCCCTCCGCTGCCGCCGTGATACACACTTTGACCCAGTCGAGTAGAATATGTAGGGTGATCGCATCGTAATCTCGACACGTTCAATTTCAGAGCTTTTCGACACGTTTGAGAGCTGTTTGTCGCAGTGGTGATATCACGTCGATGTGGAAAGCGGTAATCTAAATCATCTCAGAGCATAATATCTGGAGAAGCTGCGGCTAGAGCTGTCATTTACTACTAGGAACTAACGTATAGTATATTTTTATGGTAATAGCACACATGCCAAACCAATGCGGTCTTGTTTACTTGTCAGTAATTAGGTGCGTTCTTATTATTATGTTTTGTCAGTAAATTGATGACAAGTGAATCAGGCACGTGTCCAATGGAAGAACAGTTTCTAAGAGGTTTACGTTGGGTGAAACGATAGAAGCACGTTTAAGCAACGATCAATTTCGGATTACTGGTTTTATTCACTCTACCGGTTGTATCCGCAATTAGCATCGGTCTTTCGTGAAAAATACGGAAAACATATTATTAAAAAAGTATTTTTAAGACTTGAAGTACATACTACAAACTATTTTGTAGTTTAGCCATTACTATTAGCATTATTTATCTACATTAATCATTATGTGTATACAAGACTATCCGGTAAAAAAATGAGAAAATCATTAATTTTGTATTTCAAAATATAACTATTTTGAATGCTCCGGCATTCCGTAATACCTTTTCTCGGTCTTGATAAATATCTTCTGCAGATGTTGATAACGTAATGCTTGAAGCTGTACTGGCAGCTCAAAATCTACGCCTGTTAGCGCTTGAACTGACAGAAACTTATTATGGCATCGAATTGTGACCGTGATAAAAAAAAAATAGATTATAGCTAGAAAATAGAATAGTCACATCAAAGGTTGGATTTAACTAAATAGGCGATACATCGCTTGAGAGCAAATACATAGCCGCAATGCCTATGATCTCCATTTGGTGATTTACCGCAGGACTGATCCGCTGCAGCCCCATGAGTGTCCTAGTTCGTCCTAGCTGAAACGAAAGCTCTCAAAACATAAAGAAGACGATGAACATAGAACGGTTTGAGCAATCAATGTCAATAAAGAGAGCGAAACAGTTTCTACTTTACACAGCAAAAGAAAATTACAGTTAGAGGCTCCTTGTCATTCACCATACTCAATTAACATTGATCTTACAAGTTATTTTTTCATAGTTTTGAAAACCTTTCAGTAGGAGATTGGCGTAATCTCAACACGTTGGCGCAACTGCTTTCCAAGATGTTCTCCTTCCCTGTATCTACAGCAACGGATTTATTTAATGGATTACCATTTAAGTATCAAAATGTACATTTCAAATGAAAACAAAAATAGTACAACTATGCTTGTGAACAAGGTTCGAAAAGTTACAATTCACTATTTCGCATAGCTTAGATTTATAGAAGTAGTAATCTCGCTACCACCAATGAGTCTCAGTGCTTATCACGACAACGGTAGACCAAATGTTTATTACATTTGTCGTCAAAGTAAGGTAAATGGGGACTAATAAACTGTCATATGCATAGCCGAAGTATGAACCCAAATAAAACGTAAATTGAGCAAGAAACTCACCTGCAGGCTACTGGAAACTGTAACTCATCCAAAAATGTTAGGGTTACTGATAATTGTACAATATCTAATGTACTATTCCGTTAAGTTGGTTTATTCAGCTATTAACATATCTTGTGATTATCGTGTTGCACAGATATATTACAATGACGACTATTTCGGCAAAGAAAACAACGTCCTTTTGGTAACAGCTGATATATAGAAAAACAGACGACACCATTCGTCAGCATTTGTAGCAATTAAATAGTGAAAAATCATATAAGCAGGACCAGCCAACTATTTAATGACTTGCCATCATTCGTGTAGAGCAAATTAAACTCAGGCGTAGGGTGCCCACAAGTAGCGTTGCGGTAATGATATGCAGGTTCTAGAGACACATTCCGGCCCATATTTTGCCCCTGTTAGCCGAATTTTTAATAAACGATAGAACAGCGTATCGAAGCACATGTCGTATACGTACCGAATTCCTGGTCACCCTGAAACGTTCGCCATGTTGTCCGGCTTACACCAGCGACACTAGTTGTTTCCTAATAAAACAACAAACCCGATTAGTGACGGTACAAATCATCCTTTTATGTGAAATAATGCAAACTTCTTATAGGTGAATTTTTGATTAAACGCTATTACACTGTGTTGAATCCTTACTTCGTATCTATTGATTTCTTTTCCGGCCATTTCAGTTCTGTCCTAGGAAAAATTCCTTAGTCAATGCTGCTTGCCACCCCTTGAATAGATTACCCAATAAAAGCTACTTCTTGTACGTGCATCACCGGTGGCTCATGTACGTTCCGTAAGTCTCAGGTCCAACTGAAAGATAGACCGCGGTGCTAAGAGGACAAAGGCGGGCAACTCCGTATCGTTCTGGCGGGGCGCCTGCGTACGCGCGACTGAAGCCCGGACACCATATGGACTCCTGATGGCAAAGCAGGCCACATTCGATCAGTGTCACAAGCTCGTTCATTCCGGCGTCAACAGTTGCTGCTTCAAAGGCAATTTCACATTGGACATCGATATAGCAGTTTTATACCTGTATACGTATGTGGACCATGATTAAGGCACAAAGAGTTAACATCGGCATAGTCAAGTACAAGTCCAAAGATACTATTCGTCTGTTTGTCCATTAATACATTGATCGTGTTTTTTGATGCCGTCAAATATAGCAGACGTCGATGCTGCCAGTCGACATCCTGGTAAGTAGTCGACGGAGGAATAAAGAGCGATTCGCACGAGCCTTCGATGAGTCAAGGGCTCTACCAATAATTTCACCTCCCTGCAGAATTACCTGCGCTTCGTTCGATAAAGTAGCATCAGTAACAGCAGACCGTTTTACAACATTGGGGCTGCTCTTGTTTTTGTTGTCTGCTGTCTAAGCAGCGGGTTGAAATGTTCGAACGGCACCGCTGCTGGACGAATGACCGGAGATGTTCGGAGCCATCAGGTGAATCCATCGAAGACAACCACGATGGACCTCTCTCGTGGCGGGCAAATGGCCGACAGCGATAGCGCCAGTAGTAAGAGTAGCGGCGGCGGCGGCGGCGGCGGCGGCGGCGGCGGTAACAGTCGTCTGGCGTGCGTCACTTTGCCGCCACTACAGTGCCACAGTTGACAATGCCACTTGGCTTATTTGCGCTAGATATCCTCGCTACCGGTGCTGTCGCCACTACACGCAAGTGGCGGCCCAATCGCGCGTGGCAGCCGAATACTATGCCGTCGCAAATAGATTTTCCATAGGCAATATTGTAGTTTTGAATATTTTATTCACTTGAGATTAAACAGGCTAGCGATCGTTCTGCTGTTGTATTCTATGCCAATCCAGAGATTTGCGCAACACTGATTAACTACAAGTATAATATCGAATGTTTGTCTATATAGAACATTTGTTGTGATATGTGTGCATTTCTAGAAAGCGAGGTTTTCCTTAACGTTACATCGCATGTTGAATTGAGGTATGCTGTTGGCTTACCCATTAAAACCCCTAACGCTTGGACAGAAATTCAACTTGAGTTCTGCTAATTCCTTCAAAAAACTACACTTTTCTCCATTGTATTATTTAGGATTTCAGGTTATAGACGAGGCGGTAAAATGTTTTCTCATTAGCTTCTTTTAATTAGACAAACTGTGTACCGTACGATGGCACTTTTAACTGAACATTTGAAGGAAATGCTATTTGCATAGAACCTTTTTTGAAAGATCTTCGCTCCAGTACTACGAAGAGTACTACTCCAGAAGTACTTCCAAGAAATTAGCTTTAAAATTTGTTAAGCTGCGTATTATTGAAAAGCCTATTTTGTGTAACCTTGTATAGCTTTTACGAATGACATATGCTTCCTATTTGTACAGGACACAGTGGAAAATAACGTATGCTTTGGACGTGAAAAGGCCTATTTTCAATATTGCCCAGAGTTACCTAATCCTTTCTAAAATATGATTTCAGATACGAACAGGTAACAATAATGCCAAATAGGCGTATTTATACTGTAATAAATAAAAACTAGAATTTTCCTGCCGATACCCAACTACCTACAGTTTTAGCGATCGCTTCAGGAATATGTCCGATAGAATACTATTAAAACGTAAGGATCACATAGTGAACATTGTAAAGAGCGCACCTTACACAAACAATACTGGGTCGTCGCTTGCCGATCCAAGCTAATTTAAGTTACCCATCCAGCTTGCCATGAAGAGCATTAGATACATGGAAAAGGAAACGATAACACCTACCGGGCCGATCAGACGACCCATTACAGACTTATACGAGCTTATTTGGTAATGGTAACAAAATTGAATTCGATAAGTGCTAACGAACTAGCGGACAGTACGAGTGCCAACGGTCATGTTAAAGAGCACAAACAAATTAAGTAGAAAGAAAACCATTTTTCACGCAGACATTCGCAAAACGTTATCCAAATGATTATTTGAAAATATACTAGATCAACGACTGTTTACTGTGTTTCTGTACACCATACTTGTAGTAGATTTAGCACTGGCTCAAAGAGCGATTTATATTTATCGACTGTCAAAAAGCTCAACCTCAACATAGAGGGCACCAAGTGTATACTTTGTTACACGAGAAATTACCTCGTCTCTGTTTACTAGTAATCTCGTTCTTTTTGTAACTGGGTTTAATACATTCTTGAATGGTCGAAGCAGATCTACCTTAAGTCGATACTGCATACCCGAAAAAAAAAAACATATGACTTTCATTACGTCAGCCCGCTTGCGACAAACTCAATCCTTTGCAAAGTTCTAGATACGTAAAGCATTACCTATTGACAGCAAACTTGAACTCCGACTAACTGAAAGGGACGGGTCCTCGAGAGTTTAGTACTACGTCGGCTGTACACACAACTCCAGATGATACATATCCACCATCAAGATACTTTATGTATGTTTGGTGCTATACGTAGTGAGCGAGTGGCCAACTACATTTCGTTGTCGACTGTCGAACTCGTCCACCCGGAACCGCCCTTCTCTTCCCCTTCTGAATGCGACAGGAACGGAAATTAGGTTTTATGCGACCTTTTCCAAACACGGCCGCAGACCCGCGCTACCAGACACTCTTTTCCTCTTTTGCTTGCAGTGGCGCACGTCACTATCAGCGTTGGCAGTGGCACATGCGTGGGTACGCTTGAATAGTACCACATAACTTGAGTTACTTAGAATAGCATAGATTCTATGAGCTAGAACATTGCTGCGCAGTGAACGCTTATCTCAATGAATTGCTCTAGGTAAGTTGCTTAAAATTTAACTCGGCAAAAGATAATGATTTTAGGTTCACGAGAATACATTAGGTCGCTTTAGGTGTACGTCCAAATCAGCCGAGATTATATACGTCGATGCCATCGAACGTTTAGTTGGGGTTATATCCACGTATTTCCAAAATAATTTCATGGAGTGAAATCAACCCGGAATTGCGCTATGGCATTAAATTTAACAGCTACAAGATGACACGGGTTGGAGGGCGTATCCGTTTCCGATCAATTTTATTTTTATAAATCAAATTTAACTGTTAAACTTTTTTTTTTTCTATGAAAACCATTAGACAGATTCGCAAAAGTAAACTCAATTAACAACGTTACACTAGTATTTTTTAGGGAGAAACGATTTTATTATCAAAAACATTCCATGATGGTTTATTAAATGCGAAAATGACATGTTTAAAGCAAGATAATGCAAAGATCTTAATTTAGCGTTTAGTGGGAAGTAAACTACCTAGAATGATTTAGTGACTCTTAACTAATATAGACGGGTCAAGTGAAAGATTTTTTAGTTGGGTACAAGAAGGAACAATAATTGAAAATTGGCAAGCATCATATAATAAGTGAGGTCGACCCTCTCTAAAGCCCATACTAGCAACCGAAAGAGCCTCCATTTTGATCGTCTTGGGTAGTCCTAAGTGCATCGTCCTTGAGCCAGCGTTAGACCTTAATAGCATAGCCGTATATAATGAAACGGCGATGATTGCTAAGTAAAACTGGCATGCGACCGACTAGCAGCACTTAGAAGCTTTCAACACTAAATATAGTCTAACAAATCCTACGTTAGCAACAATAACAAAAAGCACGTTTTTAAAATATCCAAGAAAAAGGAGCGAGAGGGGAAGTGGAGAGAGGAGGGCTTTGCAAATAAAAGATGCTTCCTTCATACCTGAGCCTGTTTGAGTAGCTTGTTCCTCGGCTGCCGCCTCTGTGGCGACGACGGCAATGCGTGATGAACGCAGTAGACATAAGCATATATGTAAACGAGCACAAATCTTTATATGTATGCTCATATGAGCAGTGGTCTCTGTGTAGGTATTTACGGAGCCAACTACTATGTCGGGAAGCAGCAATGTGCACCCCCAAATGAATCAAATACTACTGATGACTAACGTGAATATGCAGAAATGACTCCCTCTTGAGCTTGCACACACGTCGTGAAGAACTGGCTTTTTCTCTCTGTGGGATGGTTGAAGAAGACGACGGCGGCTGCGTCAAAACAAGTCGCAAATTTTGCCTTCTGCCAGCCTATGTAAACAAGCGAACGAGCACCGAATAAAAGAACGATTTAGAAAGACTAAGTTTTTATTTGGTTACTAAACTACACTGACATACGTACCAATGTTACAACTAGTATTAAAAGTAATGATAAGAAATTATTAATTTCGATGTTTTAGCCTTATTTAGGTTAAACGAAAAAAGCCCCAAAGTAGAAAGCACCCAGGGACCGCGAAAGCAAACGAAGTGAATCTTCCTAGTCAATTTTCGTCCGTTTCTTTTCATCGCCTCCCTCAAGTTCATTCCTCTAGCAAACCAGACGAAACAAACGAACACTTACACAAAGGCGAAATCGGCGCGGATTTCCGCGTAGAACGAGTAGGCCTTACCGTATCGTGTATTGCGCGTGCCTTACGGTACCGTACGCGCATCATTGATGTAGCGGGCGGGTGTGCTGGCAGACATAAGTTTGCCCCTTCTGTTCGCCCCATGAAAATCGGCATACCGAGATGCCATGTCCATATACCGCCTACATGATAATTCGCCATCGGATGCCCACTGACACCAACCTGGCATCCAAGCGTAAACGTATGCATCAATTATCCGTCTGTGTCAGGCGTACAGCTTACAACTAACCTATTTGTTCGAAATACTACTCGCTTTCAGAGCTATATATATATATATATATATATATATATATATATATATATATATATATATATATATAGACAGTTTATATACCTAACCTATATAGCAACATGCATCTATGCTTCGGATACGTAAGTTCGCAAAGCAAACGAAGCAGTGACTCATCAGCGACAACGACAATCACTGCGATGCGAGCTTCCATATTCTTCAACTAGGAGCAACGATTTGAGTTAGGCTGGAGCTACTGGCATGAGAACTATAATACTAGCCCCACACTGGCGTCTGTCGACTAGCACAGCTTTGTGCTATATCTTTTCGAAGTTACCCTAATCTGTGCCGCTACTGGCCGTGTTCGCCCTCGGCACCAGCTTGAGTTTTTCCAATCGACAATTGAACTTCTCGATGAGAAGCTGAAGTCGTCGTAATCTTAGCCCGGCGATTTTTCCGCGGTAGTGGCAGTAGCATGGTATTCAGGTGAGCCGCGGCAAATGAATCGCTCGCCAGCAATTACGAACTAACAGATAGAGGAGGCATATTGGCCCGGCGTTATTTTTTGCCCGCTTTTCTTCTTCTTTTCCTTCTGCTTTTGTCCATTTCTCATGTCGTTGGCCTCGCTTTGTTGTTTGTCATTTTTCGTTGTTTTCGTTAGATGAGGGTGATGGCCACGAAAAAGCGAGAATTCGGTGGCCGATTATCGATCGTATGTGCGTATCCGGTAATCCTTCCGAGCTGTCACAATACTCCTGAATGGTCCCGCTCACTCCAATGGGTGAAATAGAGCTGATGTCCGATTGTTAATTGGCCAGAGCAATCCACTGC